TAGAGTTAAAAGAGATTAATAAATGACTTAACACATGTATGAGCCCATAAATACCATAAAGATTGCATTTTTATGCTTAAGGGACCCTTAAAATGTCCAAATCTATAAGGTTTAGCTTCTAAAACAACCTTAGCTCATCAAGACCAACCAAAAGGGACCAAAATGAGCATAAACAACTAAAGAGTAGATCAAAGCAAAGAGTAGACAAGGTATGGACTTTATACCTCAAAAGTCACCAAATGATGGAGCTAAATCTGGATCTCTAAGATCTCTTCCAAGGAATGAGTCTTCAAACTTCTTCTTCTACCAATTTAAAATGCATAAAACCCACCAAAGTTCAAAACAAGAGCATCACACAAAGCAAAGGGATGAATTAGCATTTTTAAAGGGTGGAGGTTGGTCTAAAATGTCCAGATGAGGCTATCACATGGCTTAAATAGGGTGAAATACCCTAAAAAATTAGGGTTTCCTTATCTACACGTACTCCATGCATACTCTATGTACGCCCAACGTACATGGACCAAAGGCGTGATGACTCTGGGCTAGTACGCTAAGCGTACCGACCTGTACATCCCACATACTAACTTGAAGGCCAAAAAGAAAAGAATTACTCTAAGGGTTAAGAAGAGGCATAGTCGAATACGAAAGTTACAATTCTCCCCCACTTGAATTAGACTTCGTCCTTGAAGTCCGATGCTCTGAATAACTTCGGGTAGTGCTCCCTCATCTCATCATCCGGCTTCCACGTCCACTCCGAACCATTAAGATGCTGCCACTGGACCTTTACTAACTCAACAACCTTGTTCCTCAAGGTTTTCGTCTTCCGGTCAAGAATCACCACCAGTCTCTCAATATAATTCAGGCGGTCATCCACCTGAATATCCTCCAACGGTACCACTGCGGAATCATCTACCAAGCTTTTCCACAGCTGAGAGACATGAAACGTGCTATGAATCTAACTGAGTTCATCTGGAAGATCCAAGCGGTATGTAACCTGTCCCACTTGGGCCAAAACCATGAAAGGACCGATATACCTAGGGCCCAACTTTCCCTTGTTTCTAAACCGGATGACACCTTTCCAACGTGAAACCTTCAGGAGAACCATATCCCTCACCTGGAACTCTAGATTTGATCAGCGTCTATCAGCATAACTCTTTTGTCAACTCTGAGCTGTCTGGAGCCTACTCCAAACCTACTGTATCAACTAAATGGTATTGAGTACCACTTCAGTACTCCCCATAACCCATTGACTGACCTCACCCCAACAAATCGAGGTCCCATATTTCCTCCTATAGATTATCTCAAAGGAGATCGATCAATGTTGTCATGATAACTGTTGTTATACGAAAATTTTGCTAACGGAAGATACGTATCCCAACTTCCACCAAAGTCCAAGACACATGCCCGAAGCATATTCTCTAGGGTCTAAATAGTCCGCTCGATCTGATCATTGCTATGTGGATGGAATGTTATGCTGAAATGGAGACAAGTACCCAACTCGTCATGGAACCTCTTCGAAAACCTGGAAGTAAACCGAAAATCTCTATCAGAAACCACCAAAATCGGCGTTTCATGTCGTGCCACAACCTCCTTAATATAAACGTCAGCCAGTTTCTTTGTAGAAATACTCTCCCGAATCGGTGTGAAATGCGCGCTCTTGGTTATGCGATCCATGATGACCCATATCGAGTCTGCTCCATGTGCAGTCCGAGGTAACTTCATGATGAAATCCATGGTAATATCCTCTCATTTCCATACAGGAATCTCCAACGGCTGCATCTTACAATGAGGTTGCTGATGCTCGGCTATGACTTTCCTTCAAATCAAGCACCGTTCCACATACCAAGCCACATCCCGCTTCATGCAGGGCCACCAATAATCAGGACGAAGATCCCTATACATCTTCGTCGCCCCGGGAGAGATGGAGAACCTAGACTTGTGTACCTCCTCCATCAGAACCTGGCATGCACCACCCTAATACGAAACCTAAATCCACCGATGCAGAGTCAACAACCCATGAATATCATAATCGAAGGAAGTCGCCTGAACCACAATATGCTCTCTTTCTTCCGGTGCTCTTCCTTTATAGCCTCGACCTGAGATTCACGAATCTGCTCCAATAGTGGAGTAACCACGGTCATCCTCAAACAATTTTCCCTGATCGGAGTCGCGACCGCTTTGTGGCTGAGAGCATCGGCTACCATATTGGCCTTCCCTGGGTGATAAAGGATCTCACAATCATAATCCTTCACCACATCAAACCACCAGTGCCGCCTCATATTCAGATTTGGCCGATCCATCTGACACCTTAGGCTCTTTTGATCTGTGTAAGTAGTATAACGGACCCCATAGAGGTAATATCGCCAAATCTTGAAGGCAAAAACCACAGCCCCCAGCTCCAAATCATTAGTCGGATAATTCGCATCCCGCAGCTTTAGCTACCTTGAATTGTAATCGATCACACGACCCCTCTGCATCAACACTTCCCCCAAACCCGTGATCGACACATCACAACAAATAACAAAATATTCAACACGCTTCTACAGGGTCAAAATCGGTGACTCACACAACCGTTGTCTCAAGGTCTCAAAAGTTGCCTACTGCTTTAGGCTCCCAGTGAAAAGTAACCGTCGTCCTTGTCAACCGAGGAAAGGAACAACTATCTTGGAGAAATTCTGGATAAACCTCCGATAATAACTTGCTAGACCAAGGAAACTCTATGGAGATCTCGGAACCTCCCACCGCATCATGGCCTCAACCTTGGCCGGATCAACTAGAATACCATTCTGGTTTACAAGGTTCCCCAAAAAATGCATCTCGTGCAACCATAAATTGCACTTGGATACCTTTGAAAAAAATTCTATCCCTCCTTAAAGTCTCCATCACTTCCCTCAAGTGCTCCTTTTGTTGCTCCTGGGTCTTGGAATAGACCAAGATATCATCAATCAACACAATCACAGACCAATTCAGCATCGGCCTGCACACGCAGTTCATGCGATCCATGAACGCAGATGGAGCATTAGTAATGAAGCTGGTCAAACAGATCATCAATCCTCGGAAGTGGATAATGGTTCTTCATTGTTACCTTATTCAGCTCTCGGTAGTCAATACACATACGATGGAACCCATCCTTCTTCTTCACAAACAATATCGGTGCTCCCCAAGGCAAACTGCTCAGTCGAATGAATCCATTGTCTAACAACTCCTGTAACTATGTAGACAACTCTTGCATCTCGGGTGGAGCCAACTGATATAGTGCTTTGGCTATTGGAGTTGCACCTGGAACCAGATCAATCCTGAAATCAACTTGCCTCTCCGGAGGCACCCTAAGAAAATCCTTTGGAAACACATCGGGATAATCCCGCACAATCGACACATCATCCATGGTCGCCTTACCCATATCCCGGGTATCCATAACATAGGTGACAAATCTAGAATAGACCTACTGAATATAATGATTGTCCCTCGCTGCTGAACGCAAATGTATCCCACTCTGAGCTCTCTCTCCCTGAACAAATAACTATCCCCCACTTAAGGTTTGAATTCGAACTAACTGTTGCTCACAATCAATCACCGCCGTATTGGGGCTCAGCCAATCCATACCCACAATAACCTTATTCTCACGCAAAGGGATGGGAACCAAATCAATCTGATACTACTCACTGAACATCTGAAAAATACAATCCCCGATGAACCCTCGAACAGATCTATCATCTGAAATCTCGACATCTAACAGACAATCCACACTACTAGAAAAACAGCCTTTTACGACGCTCATTGCGCGTCGTAAAAGGCTCAGACGACGCGCAAATGCACGTCAAGGAAGGCCCTATCATAAAGAGAGACGATGCGCATTTACGACGCTCATTTACGACGCGCAATTACGACACGCGTTTACGACACACAATGCGTATCAAGGAAGGCCTTGTCCTAAAGAAAGACGACACGCATTCGCGTGTCGTAACCTTACGATGCGCGTATTAATGACACACAATGCGTATCAAGAAAGCTCCTATCAAGAAAGGCCATGTCATAAATGAAGATGACACACATTTTTGCGTATCATAATTTTAAATGTTTAAAAAAAAACATTATTTATAGATTTACTAATTTTCAAATTAAATTTGTATTTAATGTCTCATAATAGAAATAAAATACCATATACAAAAAATACAATCCATTGCATAAAGTTTAATGTCATATAATTCTATTTCTTACAATATATAAATTTGCATTCATCTAATCTACTCCGTGTTTCATACTAACAGTTGGAATGAAGAATGCAACACTTGCATTTGCAGCATCTTATCTCTTTCAGCTTGAGCTTTCTTTTCCTCTTTTAACTCCAGAGCTATTCGCTTTCATCATCAACCTTGCAATCATGTCAGTTGTACAATATCAATATCAACTAATTAATAATGCACATGGTATGTATGTATGTATGAGAGTGGAATCAAAATGATCTACCAATAAGTGTTTTGTACTGCCTTGAATCAAAGTATTTTTGGTGGCTTCAAGTACAGCTCCCAAAGGATACTCCTTCATACACCCATCTGCATATATGCAAATATACATGTACAATATTGAGTATGTTATGGGAAAATTGCTGAAAATAGCAATATACTTTCAATATTGGTAAAGGGGTAAAATATTAATTTGTGGAGTATATTATAGGGCATTGTGACTTTATATATACCTAAAAGAAATAGCTCCTATTCATGAAAAAAAACATTTGTACCCTTTGGTATCTTTTAGAAATCAACAGAGGAGTGCAACAACACTTACAATAAGAAATCAGCATCAATTGCAGCAACAATTGCAGGAATCAGATTACACTGTAATGCTTGATTCCATTCCGTCTTTGATTACTGCATACCAAACACACTACCTTATTTAAAGTAACTATGACAGACTCATCACTTCACTCGGTAAAAATTGTACACAAAACCAAAAAGCTCTCCTACTTCATCTGAACTGTCTTCTAAATCAGACGCATCACTTCACTCGACTTTCTTGGTGGTTGCAATAGCACCATTCTTGGCAACAGTAGCTGGCTTTTTTGGCGCCTCCTAAATTACATAGAAGAATACTTAGAAAAGTGGAGAACAACATGTATCATGTAGAGAATGCTGCTAACAAGTGACAAAATTAATGTGAAATTAGACAAACTGTATCCAAGTGCCAAGAGATTTACAAACTCTGACTCACTTCTTCATCTGATGAATCACTATCATCCGATGATTCAGATTCAAATTCAGATTCATCTGAAGTACTTACAGGTTTACTAACAGGTTTTTTATTCGATCCAATTTTAGCAGTAGGAGTGGACCGTTTCTTAGGTTTAGGTTCCTACAACATGTTAAAAATGCTTGTAGAAGGGTGAAGAATAAAATAAACGAAATTTTTACAACATGTGATAATGAATTCATATTCAACTTCCCTTAGCTGATCAATGGCCTCTGAGATCTCTTCTTTTAAGTTCTAATTCAGACAAACATAATAGGAGAGAAAATAGACAGCATTAAACAAAATCTAAAAAAGTTCAAATTTTTAATAAAAACCTACCATTTATCACCCCAAGTTATGCACGAAGGTTAGAAACTTGTCCATATCTTGTCTGTTGTGGAGCTTTTAGATCACCTATGTATTCAAGATTCTTTTGGTGTCCAAAAATCAGATCACCTATGTATGTATCTCAAATAGAAACCTACTTTCATATCTTTTTATTATTTTTTCTTAAGTATAAAACGTATGAATCAAAAGCACATGGAATAAGTTATCTCACCACACAATGTACAACAACAGGTGCCCATTGACTTTCAACACCTAACATTAGTATATGTTCCAAAACATTTCCCTACAAATAATAGATGAAAAGAAACTGAGTCGTGATGATGCATAAAGTCTAGAGTTTTATATTTATGAAAATAAATAGAAGATTTAAAAAAACACTAGTTTTTTATGCAAATAAATAAAAAAACGAATTGTTAAAACTTAAAAGATAGGGATATAAAAGTTACCTCATTCCAGTCCAAATAGTCGATAGCTTTGACACATTGATTTTCCTCATTTAACCTTTTTTTTAGCATTCCTAAAAGCTCGCATCATCACCCTTGGTTCCCAGCTAAGTCCACATGTCTTTTTTAGGACATTTTTAACCACAACTGGTTCGCCTCTTCTCCAATGCATTTGAAAATGTTCAAAATCTTTGTCTTCTAAGTCAATAGCATCAGGGCAATATAGTAAATTGTTGTCATTCCTACTACTACTACCCTCCCTAGAAGCTGATTTCCTTACACCACGTCTATGATGATCATGATTTTCCACACCAATGGAAAATGGCAATGTGGAAGGGTAAACTTATATCTCTATTCCATGATAAAAAAAAAAAACAGCCACATGGAAATCTGAAAAAAGATAAAACGATAAATAAAAATAAACCCAATATGGCACAAGACTTTTGGAGCAGTAGCACATATGAAATGGACAACAACGATAAAAAAAAAAGGAAAAAAAAAAAAAAAAAAAAAAAAAAAACGACTTTTGGTGTTGGGTTGAAAAATTATGAAGTTCTTCTAGATGATAAACCAAAAGAGTTTTGGTGAGGTGAAGAAATATGCTTTTCCATCTGATACTCTTCATTTCTGGTTTCATTTTCCTCATTACCTACTCCAAAAGTAGTTACTTAATATCACCAAAAGATGAAATCACCATATACAAGCAACTTATAATGTTATAATATGCACTGAGAAATTGAAGATTATTTAGTAATGAGCTAATTTCAGTTTAGTCATTACATAGTGGAATGATAATGATATATACCTCAGTGTGAGCTTCAGAACTTATACCATTGGCATATTGGATCACAGAAAGCTCCAATTTTGACTTCAAAACACGACATTCAGTCAAACTAGGGTGCATGGTCTTAAGATCTGTCCCAAATTTCTCAATCCCCTGAAGTAGCAAAAAATACAAATATAGTATCACTTACTAAAGTAGCAAAAATAACATATTATTCACACTAACTGCGTATACTTCCTGCAATTTTTAGATTGTTTTTGGTATGCTACAACTTAACTTAGTTTTTATGTTTTTTTAATTGTTATTTTGTCAAATCAAAGAATAATTTATAAACTAATATTTTCAAACGCTACTTACTTATTTTTTAAGAAATTTAATATTTTATATGGAATTTTTCTATCAGGTATAGACTAGGAAATAACATACAAAATTGACCCAGTGATATCAAATTTTGACTTGTGCTAATGAGCAGGAGGAACCCTTGGAGCAGATTTCTCAGCCATTCCCACACTAATTTTGTAACCTCTCAATTCATAATCTGATCAAACATTAAAAAAAAAACTAAATTAGACATACCCATAAAATAATTTATATAGTTGAGAAAAGAAGGTACTTTGGTTGTAGAATCCCCCAGCAGAATGTGCTGTAGAAGAATCCCATCAGAATGTGATGCAAGAAGGGACCCGAATTTAGGGTAGGCCGATGCAACCTGCCAGACTGGACCATTGTGACATGTCAATGTGGTAAGGGGGTGTGAGGTGGCGTTGCTGATGGTGGTGGTGACACTGATTATCTTGATTGTGGCATCAGAGGAGGTGGATGCTACTCGTTTTCCTTAGTAATCCATACAGACATCATGGATTATGTATGTATGACCTGTTTCAATCTTCTGCCCAGGCATGATCTGTTGAATTTGAAGAAGATTTGGATCAGTGGATGTGAAAACAAATTGAAGAATTCATATAATCATTAAGTTTGATAGAAGAATAGGTTTAGTGTTATGAAGAAATTGAATGTTCCAAATCTGCTCAAGGATATGGTTGAGAGAAGAGTGTAAACGTAATCATCAAAATTTTCCCCAATTCAAAATTTTGAAAAATGCATTTATAATCAGGACGCTGTTCTTCCCTAATTTCTAAGAATTCATATGCTGCTACACAATTATATACGAAACAGAACTTCTAATCTATGAAATTTCATACAGAGGCAATTAAACATTTCTCAATTCTAAGCCCTAATTATAGATCTCTATTCAAATTCTCCCCTTAGATTGGAAGATCAATATCAAGATTGCCGATTTGGCAAAAGAAATAAAATAGAAGTGTCATATAAAGAAAATTTTCATCAATGATGCTTAGGTTTGAACCATTCATCAGTCTCGTATGTTTTGGTTCCCAAATCAGAAAAAATCCCCTTTACAAATAAATAGACTAAAGAAGGAGCACCAGATTTTCGCATCTAACTAAACTGTAAACACCGAACTTCAAATAATACCGATTTTATAAATATTTAAGAATGGAATAATGTTAATCCTCTGTACAAGAAGTATATATGTAGAAGTAGAATAGAAAAGAAACAAAGAAGAGGCGAGGAGAGGAGATGACCTAAAATCAGAATCTGCAATTGAAAAAACATGACGAGAGGCGCTTGTTGTTCAGAACATGTTCATAGTTATAAACTCTGTAATGGAACTATAAATGGTGAAATGAGATCGAGAGGCACTTTTTCGGCCTTAAGATGTCAAGGATATCAGTTGCCTTCTCTAGGAAGTTGGTCCAAAGCCACTCGTACCTCCTCCTCCGAGTTCTGTACCAGAATATACACACAGGCCGTTGACTTGAAATTAGGTTTTTGCTCCCGTCGACAGTCATAGAGCGCCGGAATCTGATTGTCATCGAAATGTTATATAAGGATTTTGCAAGGTTTAACAATGAGGATGGGGTGAGAGAGCTACAAATGGTGATGGTGGATGAAGTGTTGGTCGATAAGGCATGTACATCGTCGTCGTGCGATGCCTAAAGATTCGGTGTGGGTTGGAGGTGGTGGAGGTGGGTATGAGGCGGGGTTTTAGGGATTCGTTTAATCGAAGAGGATTTTAAGAATTTCAAAAATATGAAAATATCGATCGAGGTCAAAAATATGATTTCAGGAACCTCACAACTAAAAATCGTATATTAGAATCCACACAATGCTTTTAGGGTTTCTTTTGAATAGAGAGGATTTCACAACATACGAAGAAGGAGGAGAGTATCAGGAGGGGGTTTTCAATTTTTTGGTAGTTCTCCATGGTTGACTTACTGAAGATGGTGAAGCGGATCGGAGAAGATGGAGAAGGAGGGACAGGGGAGAATCAATTGCGGAGAGCCGGAGATGAAAGAAGAAAGAAGGTAGAAAAGCGGGTTTTCAAAATTTTGGGGATTTCGTTTCCCCCGTATCTACTAAACACGCTTTTCTTGAAAATTATAAAGCGACACTTATAGAGGGCGTGCATTTTTAGATAAAGTGCCCTCTGTGTTTTTAATTTTTTTACATTAGACACTAATTTAAGGGCACGTAATAATGCGCGACCTAAATCCTTAAATTTTTTGAAGAGATGACACTTTTTTAATGTCACTCTCTTTTGTGTAACATAAATCAATGAGTGTCGTGGTTTGCGCGTCTTTAAAGTGTCTTTTTCTTGTAGTGCAAGCTCCCCTGGAGCTCCAACAAACCTCTTGATAAGCGCAAGCGATACAAAGGATCGGTAGGCCCTGAATCAAACAATACCAAAGCAGAAATATTGTTCATGAGGAACGATCCTAAAATAAAACACACACACACACACACACACACACATATATATATATATATATATATATATATATATATATATATATATATATATATATATATATATATATATATATATATATATAAGCAAGCAATTCAATACAAATAAAGAGATAAGGAGAAGATAATACCCGTCACCGTATCAGGTGCCACGTAAGCCTCCTCTGCTGTCAACTGGAAAGCCCTGATCTTCACCACAAGTGCGTCCGCCTTGCCCTGGCGGCCGTTAGTGATCCACAGAGTCGTAGGTGCGGGTGCTGACATCGGCCCTATTGAAGCCAAACTCAGACATTGGGCCTTCTTATGGCCCCTATGATTGCAATGAAAGAAAATTAGATCAGATCTTGGGGTGGTGGTGGTAGCAGTACAATCCCTGCTATAATGACCCATCTGGTCGCACTTGAAGCAGCCCGAACCACCCACCCCGCACAGTCCCTCGTGTGTCCTACCACACTTCCCACAGTGGCTCCGGCCCTTCTGGCCTCTCGATCACGAATCCAAAACCTTAGGCCTCTTACCCGATCCCCCTGAAACCTAAGCCTGATATGGCTTCCTCTTCCTCTCTATCTCAATATCAATCTCCCTCTCCCAGGATCTCACTATCATATCCTCTAGTATTTTGCAACTGGATCAACTCACAAAATGCCAAATATCGCTCATCAACATCTCGTGATACCTCGCTTTCTTCATCTCATCATCCACCACATACTCCGGAACCAAAAACATCATGACGATCTTAGCCACCGTCTCAGTAGTTTGGCAGAGATCCTAAAACTCTCGTGCCAACTGTTGCACCTCAATCACCGATGCAAACTTAGGGCTAAACCTGGTCGCAAAATCATTCCATGACATGGAATCAGCAACCACATCATAAATGGAGCGCCCTACCTCCTCCCACTAGTCTCGTGCTCTGTCCTTCAGAAGACAGGAAGCAAGTTTGAACCCTTGGGGCAACTATTAGTGAAGAAAGTGTTAGCAACATCTGCTAACCATTGCTTACTCGCTATCAGATCCTTCTCCCCATATAGTCTGGAGCCCCATACGCCCAAAAATCCCTGAAGGTCAATGAACGCGCCCCTACCAAGGCCACCATCTCAGAATGAAATGAGCTCAACCGCTCATCCGAAATCTCCATAATGCCCTCCTTGAGTGTACCAAAGACCACATGATTCTGCTCAAGAATGCAACACGTAATCTTAGACAAAATAAACTCCCTCGTATGGTTATCCAACCGCTCGGATCCAGATCCTGAGTCTGAGCCCTTGCCAGCACCAGAACTGCCAACTGTCCTACCTCACAGAGTCAGCATATAAAAAATAGACCATATAAACCATCAGAATAAGCATCAACATATATCAAGGGATCACAAACTCTACAATCTCCTTGGTTTCATCGCAAATCTCCTTGAATCGAGTACAGATCCTATGGTTCAAGTAGTACAAGACTGTACTACCTTCCACATTTATCCGTACTTTCCTCAAGGATTGTCATGAATCCGCCAAGTCACTTTATATCCATACAATTAACCCTCAACAATATAAGTCTCCTAACATTATCCGCAGAAGGAACTCCTGCTAACTTCGTATAACTAGCTCACAAATACAATTGCATATCACCAAAACCAGATAATTCTTCAAACGAGAGGTCTCACACTACAATGGTTGGACTCAAACAAGAGTCACACAATGGAGCTCAAACCTAACCTTCTGGATTTATTTAGTTTCCATAATACGTAACTTAGCATATTCGCTTACTAGTTAGATAAAGCCAGTGAGAACTCCTAAAAAACACAAAGCAAGAAGCATTCGAGCATCAAGTGATCAGAACCAAGCATATCCTAATCAAGCCATCCTATCATTGAGTAATCAGTACTAGCATGCAAGTCTACAAGCTTATACCATAGGTATACAAAGGCATCTCTATTATCATTCTATCATGCCAATATTGAGTAGATCCTTAGCCCAAACTAGCATGCAGTTCACAGATTCACAAATAAATTAAATCAGATAACATGTATGGGTATTTTGGGAAAACTTACTTGAGCTCGGTCGATTGCGTGCACCACACCCTTTCTTGTGTTAGAAACCCCCTTTCTTTAATAACATTTGTTTTTGAAAATTTTTACTAAATCCTCAGTTTGAGTTCAGACATACCCAAGAGTATGTCTGAATCCCTCAAACCAAGGCTCTGATACCAACTAAAAACGTCCCAAAAGTAAGACCCAAAAAGACCAAAGTATTCACTACATCATATCATATCAGAGTATATCACTACATCACATCATATCAGAGTAAATCTCAAAATGTCGAAAAAGGTGGTGTGTGCTCTACAATCATCCCGGGCTCTTCCCTTTTGATCCTGAACTACTTGAAACATAAAATAAAAACCAACAAGCCTAAAGCTTAGTGAGTTCCCCAAAATACCACATACCATACATAGATAAACACATAATGGGCCCCTACCCCGCATCGGGCCTTGACCGACATCGATCCCCACTCGTCATTGGTCCATGCCTGATATCGAGCCCCGCTCGGATCATAGATCGGTCATTTAGTAGGCCCCACCTGACATCGGGTCCCGCCCAGTACATATAATAAACATATAACATATAATGATGCTAACACATGTGATAATCACAAAACAATAACATACAATACAGTCACCGAGCTCTCGCTCGGTATACATACTAGCACATAACACATGCAAGAGTCACACATACATCTAGCATCCTATCATAATAATTATAGGGTGGTATTGGTGCCTTAGACCCACTATACAGAGTGAGGAAACTTACCTCGGATTTTTGAATCTCACAGATTAATCTCTTCATATTGACCGCTAAAATTGTCACGCTATAATCACAAAATAACATCCAATTAATAATTGGATCCGACTCACACTAAGAATCCAAACCAGGGTAAAAGACCTTATTGCATTTTTCCAAACTTAGCCCAAGGCCAAGGCCCAATCCAACTGTCGAAAAGGCCTAAATTCCAAAATAATCACCCAAAGCCCAAATATGGCCGAATTTTCCAAATTAGGCCCAAGTCCCTTTATGGGCCTTCATCCAAG